ATTATAACCTTCCTCATATATATATATATATATATATATGAGAAATGATCTGTTTATTCTAGGAATAAGTCTATCTAGATTTATTCTGTTCAGTAACTCATGTTCTACATCAAATTTTAACAATCCAACCGTTAAATTTAAAATTTTTAATACATAAATCAGGTCTACAAATTTGATACTTCACTTCATTAATTCAAATTGACAGATAATTATAAAATTATTTTATAAATTATTTTTGAATTAACGGAATAAAATATCAAATAATTTTTAAATTTTTAAAAGATTTACAAATTTGATTTATACAGTAAGAGTTTTAAATTTAATGGTTGGATATTAAAATTGAATATAAAATATGAATTACTGAATAAAATAAATATAAATAAGCTTATTCTAGACATAAACAGATCCATCCTCTAAAATTTAGAAACAAGGTAAATTTAATATATATCATCATATCGTGTTATAGTCGAAATTTACTTATAGTATAGAACTTTATAATAACATTAAATAAATTTATTTGTTAAAAATATCAAATCATTTCGAAAGTTAATAAATTTCTGTAAAATAATCTATTTATTGGACCGAGTAAAATGATTTCCAATTTAATTAAGACAGCCAAGTAATATTTTATAGATTGCAGAACTTTCAACTAGCTAGGTAAATTTGAAATGATCAAATCAAAGTACATCTGCTGTACCAAAAGAAATTGACTGTACCAATAAAAAATCAAATTCAAAGTACACCTATTCGGTGTTAACGTGGTGAAATAAACTATATAAAGGGGCTATTACCTTGGCCAATAGCATAACCAATATCACTAGAAGTTGGGAGAAAATGGGGTCTCTAATGGCCTCCTTTTCTACTCTCACTCTTGTATTGGCAATAGTCTCTCTTAGCTTGCCATCTCAAACCTCAGCAGACAAATATGACTATTCATCTCCACCACCAGAGAAGCCTTACTATTACCACTCTCCACCACTCCCACCCACTAAGAAACCTTACTATTACCACTCTCCACCACCCCCACATAAGAAGCCCTACAAGTACCCTTCACCTCCACCACCAGTCTACAAATACAAGTCCCCACCACCACCAGTTTACAAATACAAGTCTCCACCACCACCCCATAAGAAACCCTACAAATACCCATCACCACCACCACCAGTTTACAAGTACAAGTCACCACCCCCACCCTACAAGTACCCTTCTCCTCCACCACCCCATAAGAAGCCTTATAAATACCCATCTCCACCACCCCCAGTTTACAAATACAAGTCACCCCCACCTCCATACAAGTACCCTTCTCCTCCACCACCACCTAAGAAACCATACAAGTATCCATCTCCCCCTCCACCTCACTATGTCTATGCATCACCACCTCCCCCTCATCACTACTAGATAGTGACTTAGTATATGGTAAGCCCCATATAAAATTTAAGCTTAAGTATGTTTTAATTTTCTTAACTTTAGAGTAAATTTATTATTAATTTCTTAAATTTAAAATTAAATTTTGATTTTTTTAATTTAAAAAATATCTTATTTTAATTTATCAAAGTCACTAATGACATAATCGACACAATAGATTAAAACAATTATATAATTTCAATAGAATTTAGTATGAACTTTATACTAATTAATTTAAGTAAATTGTGTGCAACATATTTTCAAATAAGTGAGTTTTCTTTGCAAATTTACTAATAATATTTGAGTTGAGTGATTAAATAAGATTTTTTTTCTATAAAATTTCATAGGCTAAAAATTAATTTTAAATTTAAAAAATAAAATCAAATTAATCTCATTTTTCAAAGATTATATGTATACCTAAAGTTTATATTTTCCATGTTATTTCAATCAAGGTTTTAATTACAATTACGTAAACTTTTAGAATTTTAATATTATAATCACATTTATAGTTAGATGTTATAATTGAAAATTTTAAATCCACCTAAAATTCATTTTACGAACAAAGTTCGAAACATTTTAATTTATTTATTTCAATTTTAATTATTTATAAATTCAAAATATCATTTTCACTCTTGTCCTTTTACACTTCCTTGTACATTTATTTTTTATTCAAGAAAAAAATGTTATATCTCTCTTTCATTTTTTTTTATGGAAATTTAAAAGATACAAATTCAAAGCGAGAATTGTATTATTAATATTTACTACTTAATCATTGGTCTGCTGAGAAAATTCTATAGCAATCCTCAATTTTACATTTATCTTACACTAATTTTTATTTTTCCGTCTCGTCATAATTATTAGTTTCTGAACATTCCTTTCTTGTCCCTCTTCCTTCCATATCAAAGTGTATAGCCTCACGGGTGCCAGAAATAAAAAATTCTTATTTTGTTGATTAAAAAACTCAATTATATGACACATAAGAATTAGTCAAAACACATGCGATGATTTGGGACCATGTGGTATCAATTATAATTTATCATACTGAATTGTGGTATCAATTAATTACATGTTATGATAATAACCTATGTCCTTTTCAGGATCTGAAGAACTTGTGCAAATAAAGGAGATGGATGGATGGAAGAACCACTATATATAGTTTATAAAGTGAAGAGTGGAATAATGCCTTTTGTGAAAGTAGTGTTAATTTGGTTTCACTTCATTGTTTTATTTTGTTAAATACTACATGTTCTAAGGCACTGTTTAGATGTGATTTGGTTAAGGGCTTACATTGGTTATTACATTGTACTCGTATTTATATGTAGTCCTGCTTGCATTGTGGTTTTCTGACTGCTGCTATGCAGAGGCTTGGTTTACGCCACTTATATAATAAATAAATACCTGATTTTTTCACTTTGAACTTTCCATTCAAATTTTCTATATATTTCGGTAATACCAAAAAAAATCAAGTTTCAGTGTTAGTATAAACCCATGTTAAATGTGTAGAAGAAGAACTTTGTTATCTTTAATAGTTTTATCTAACTGCGCACGAAACGCGAAGGTAAAAAAAACCGATGCATCTCTTCTTAATTTTATCATTATTTCTATATTAATAAATGAGGTAAGCATAATAAATTAATAATGTTTTTACGAAATGATCGTTATCAATATATTATTGACTTATTTACACATTATTCATCAATAATAATAATAATAATAATAATAATAATAATAATAATAATAATAATAATAATAATAATAATAATAAAGAATGAAAGAATATCTACATGAAAATTTTCGAGAATAACAAAAAGGACTACTCCTACAAAGTATTAAACTAAATTTTAGATCCTTGTTGGGATTGTATGTCGAGAGGAATTAATTAATTCATCATCTGAAAGAAGAAAGAAAACACACAGTAATCGTATAATCAACAAGAATATAACATTAAGTATTCTTGTTCTACTTAACAAACAAATTGTCATCTACAATAAACTTTACAAACAAATTGTCATCTATACAATCACGTAATAGAGTTTTCAATGCTACAAAAATATTACATATAATTGATATATAAAAAGTGTGATTATAAAAATTATTACATATAATAATTTATAAAAAGTGTCACTATAAATATAAAATATGCATGTATAAATTTATTTGATATATATTTACACAATATTAATGTTTATTTTCAATGAAATTTAACAATATATATTATGTGTTACAATAATTTATATCTATACTTTTTAACAATTTTGAAAATATATTTAGAACATATACCAATTTATATAAAAATATTTTTTAGTGACAATATTAGGTTATTATAAGGTATATCATTATAAGTATAAGGTCACTATTCATTGAAATCACTTAAAGCTTATCTTATAAGTTATATTCTTAAAACAATTTCAAATTTTCACTCTCCTCTCCACTCTCACTTTCGTGCAACCACTCCAAAAAAGGAGAAAAGTAATTTCTCTACACCTTCTCCATTCCTCCTTCTTCTCAAGAGCATTTATTCTTGTTCTATTCAAATATAAGGTAAACAACTAAGTTTTTAAGTTTCCTACTTCATCTTCCTTTGATTTTCATCTTCTTCTATTTCTCTTTGAACTTATCTTAAGGTTATTCTCTTTAGGGGAAATTGTATAGAAGTTTGTTTTCCTCATTTCATTTTAAGAAAAGTTTCCTTGAGGTAAGGAGAGTTGATCTCAACCATTGAAATCATATTTGAGGTAGTTTCTTTTGATCTTGAAGAATAAAATCTGAAGAAAAAAAATCGTGATTATCCTATTCTAGTCTGCATTTATCTATTGGTTATGTTCAATTTTTTGATGTCAAAAATGGATTTTTTGGATATGAAAACTTAGGATTGGTTTAAGGATCATTTAAAATGAAGTTTTCTATAAAAAAAATGATTAAAACAAGTTTTGAACACTTTATTTAATTATTCAGGTAGGAGGATGTCATATTTGTTCAACACCACCTCTTTGAAGCCTCATCATTTTCTCATGACCCAAAGATATGTGTTTCGGTTGTGCAAAACTCAATTGACTCTCCTCTTCTTGGATTTGGATATCATCAGGATTTCTGCATAAAACCTTCTGACGGGATTATTGTGTCATCATACCCTCACGCCCAACTATTTCTTTGCAGTGCATAAATGTTAATTCCCATATTTGCTGCAAATAAGAAAGGGCCACTCCCATCTTTCTACTTCTAATGTGGGCTTAGTGTTAGCATAGGCCCAATATTATGTGGACCAGGTATCTCAACATCTTTCTCACATGCTTGTTGATTATTAACGTTGTGTTTTATTGCCACAAAGTCATTTTCACCTCCCACACTTGATACATCGAGAGGAACATGTTGGTTCGCATTTAAATTAACTTTGCTCAATGCACCACATTCTTTATTCTTTTCATGACTTTATCAATTCCAAACTTATCAAAATCTTTCAACTTGTCGAACATAGTAATATCCTAAAGACGTCCAACCCAACTGGCCTGGAGCCATGAGTTATTCTCTTCTATCACTCTAATGTCTAGCCCTTGCCACAAATCCTTATCCTATTTCATCCTTTGTTTCCTTTGCTAGATTGTGGTTATACAACTTTGTCCACCCTTGATTGCTTGTACATATGTTTTCCTAGTATCTCCGTACACTTTTGCCATCTATTCACTCTATTTCACTTCAGAACTAGCTCCCACCTTATATTTTAGTATATTGTTCTTCCCCCGAGAACTTCACTCATTCCTCCTATATATTGGGGTATTCACGTACATTTTAATATCTCCTCTCTCTCTCTCTTTATATATATATATATATATATATATATCCTATCAAGTTGTTGCTCTAGTTCCTTCTCAATTGAACTCCTTTATACCTTACTATTATCTCCCTTGATAAGTGTACAAAATCGTATAAGTAGTTCAATGAAAGTATGAGTATCGTCTTCCAAGAAACTTGCGCAATACTTTACAAATTCACTTGTTATACCAATTAAGCTACCGAAAAACAATAAGAGTTTGATTTGCTGCAGTAAAAGGCTCAAAGCCCAATAAGAGTGATTTAGTAGCCTAGAACGGGTCGTTCCAAACTACTAAAATGGCCAAGAACCCTAGTTGCGAACGGGCCATTTTGGTTTAAGAACGGGTCGTTCCAAACATGGTCGTTGTAAGTTAAACTCAACCCCAGAACGGGCCATTCTGGTTTTTAAAACGGGCCATTCTAGATGAGAATTTTACACATGATGAAAGGGTCCAGAACGGGTCATTCCGAATTTGAAACGGGTCGTTCTGGCCACCTCTAACATCTATAAATAGAGCACTTTGACATTGTTTATGGACACACTCTCTGGAGATCAAGGAGAACCAAGAGAAGGAGATCAGCCTGATTCTGCTCTATAGCTTCATCTTCTGCTTATCCAGGTAAGGGGGAGTGAAAAACCTTGCTCTGGGTGTGGAAATGTATGTTGGGTAGTGGCATTGACCCCCAATCCTATATTTGTTATATGCTCATTTATGAGGAATTTTTCCCAATTATATATGTTTCTTCTATTTTCTCTTCTTATATGTAAATAACTGTATGATTTGAGATCTCTATGGGTTCCTCTGGAAAACCCTAAAGGAATGCATTGGTGATTGTAAGAGGGAGATTGTTTGAAAAGGTAATTGTATGAGTAAATTGTACTATTTTAAATGTTTATTGTATAAATTAGAGTGCTTTGTGGGTTCCTCTGGGAACCCTATGAGAAACAGACAAATTTCTAATATTTCCTGTTTTACCTTCTGATTGTTTTGTTGTATTCTTTGTTGAATAAGATGTACGAATATGTGTTTACTTTCGCAAATAAACAAGTTTTGATATGAATTAAAGTGCTCTGTGGAGACTATGTGAATATAATATAATGTGAAATGTGAATATGTGACATGAGATATGAGGATATGTGATAATGTTACATGATGATGTGATATGACAATGAGACATGACGATGTGATATAATAATGAGACATGATAATATGATATGAGAATGCATAGAGTCGTGATTGACATACATCATTTGCATAAATTTTTTTAAAGGTACGATATGGAATACACTGCCAGGGAAGACCCTCTTGTGTAAAAGCTTGGGGATTAGTCATTGGGGATAACTCGGTTTGTAAGTCTCAGTCTCGCCCATTGTGTGCGTGGGATGTATCTTGCGCGGCTTAGCTATCCCGACGAGATCTTGGTAATATGTCCTTCTAGTGAGAGTGCGTAGAGGGTGTGACCCGATATGTACTCCTAGACTACTCTCGTGTATTGCTAGCGGCAATACGCCATGTGATATGTGTTACTGACACCACATGCATGATAATATATAGTCCGTGTCCATTACATGTGCATTTTAATGTTATATATACTAAAGTGATTTTTATGTCTTTGATGAGTGAAATGTGATATTGATGTACATATACATGTCTTGTTTGTGTTTGGCTATCCGGTGTGTATTTCTACACTGTGAGTCAAAGTGAGATCAGATGTTTCTCACTCCCTTTTCTTTTGTGTTGTTTTCCTTGATTGTTATACAGGTAATTATTAGCATGAGGCTGAGAATGTCGGTGATGAAACTTAGGCTTCAATGTTGGGCTTTGCTCTAATAGGACATGTGACATCGGGGCATAGATAGGATTAGATTAGAATGTTATTCTTATTAAATTATTATGGAAAACTCATTTGTAATTCCACTGACATATTATTTGGATTAAGTTTATGAATGTGAACTTTTTACCCTTATGTGGTTGGAGATTTGGTTTTTAATGATGAAGAATTTTATTTTTTTTTATAATTACTTTATATATATGTTGAGGTAGAGGGTGTCATACACTTAGGGTGCAAAACTTGATTCTAAAGTAATATTAATAAATGTTTGGGGTTTGACTTCACTAAACCTTCCTCTCATGTTTATCACTAAGCTCATAATAGTTATCATTCAAAATTTATCAATCACTCTAAAAAATAACCAACCCTAATCTCTTACAAGTTGGCGTCTAAGTTGCTAGATTAAACTATCAATCTCTTGCATAGTTTAATTAAGAAACCAACTTTAAAAACTAGAGCTTAAGAAAGACTAATGACATTTACTCTATCTCTAGCAATAAGCACCATTAGCTGCTTTATTCTATTTCAAAGGTTTAAAATCATTTCTCAATCTCTTAAAAACCTCAAGTTCAAGTTAAGGGTGATCAAGTCATAACAAGCATTATGCATAAAAACAAAGCAATAAAACTAAATAACAACTGAGATTGATTACTTAGAGTTTACACATGAGAATGAGTTTAGTTACATCAAACCCCAATAAGGGTGAGATTAGCTACACATAGACATGTAGAACTCTACAAAATGATGAAGAAAGGAGGAAGATTCATCTTGAAG